GAGCCAGAGTTGAAGCAAGATGTGACAGGCAGAAAATGGGTATCCAAAGCTGAAAAGGCAGTTGAGTTGACAAATCTTGGTAGGGTATATCAAGAACCAGAGTTCAAGGGACAAAGATTATATCAAACAGATAGTGATAACAAAATAAAGAAATTTTATACACATACCTGGAAAACGTGAGCAAAGTCCTTGACTTTAGAAGTGTTGTAAAGTGTTTGTGAACACCCACATTGCTCTCTGTAAGCAAGTCTTTACTGGGCTGAAGAAGTTAGAGCACTTATTACCGGTTTCCTACCCCAGTCCTCAAATCACTTCTTAAATTTGAAACTGCAATCCCTGGCTCTGGACATAACTGAAGTCTTTCTCTTCTCTCTTCCTTCCTTCCTTCCTTTCTTCCTTTTATTAATTTTATTTATTTATTTTTAGAGAGAAGGGAAGGAAAGGAGAAAGAGTGGGAGAGAAACATCAGTGTGTGATTGCTTCTCATGTGCCCCCTGCTGGGAACCTGGCCTGCAACCCAGGCATGTGCCCTGACTGGGAATCGAGCCAGCGACCATTTGCTTCACAGGCCCGTGCTCAATCCACTGAGCTACACCAGCCAGAGCCCTTTCCTCCTTTCTTTCTCTCCTTTCTTTTTCATCCTCATACAGTACCCGAGCCTACATTACACCTGCTCCTCAACCTCATCAAGACCTCAAATTACCCATCCCTGGCCATTGAACTGCCCTCTCTGACCTGCTCCTTTCTGAATCTGCTATTGACCCAGCCTGCACCCCAATTCCTAATCCAATCCTGAATCAATTCAATTATCTTTTCCTCTGGTATAGAATCCCTAATTTTAGAGTGTTGTTGGAGGATAAAAAGCCTAGATCAGTTTTATTCTAATGACTTTACCAAGCTCTAATTTCAGGTACATACTTAAGAGTTCTCTTTAATCTTTTTGCTTATGCTTTCTCCCTGAAGCAGCAGCACCACTCCCTTCAAGCCTAATCAGTCTACATGCACAAAGCACAGACCTTATCAATCACTCTGCCAAAAGCACAGATCCCATCCCTTCATTTACCTTCTTAAACATTTAATGACTATTTATGGCCTAGCAAAGAAAATCTAGTGTCCTTATTACAGCATGTCTTTCTAGTTATTGTAATTTTCTTTTTTCTTCTCCAACCTTGGTGCTGATGTGCCTTTACAATACCCACATCAGAGTACTTACTTCCAATGCCTGAATGCATCCTGCCTTTTTATGCTTCTGCTTTTGCTCAAACCTTCCTCTACCTGAAAAGGCTTTCACTGTTTCACCATGGTGATTAATTCTCCCTCACCAGTAGTTCTAAGGACACTTTATACTTACCCCTATAATGCCCTTATTGCCTTGTATGACTGTATTATAAGTATGATTAGCTGTTTTATAAACATGCTAGTATCTTAAAGATAAGAACAATGTGTTATTTTGCTGTTTTGTTTAGGAATAGGTTGGTTTGTTTGTTTGGTGGTTCTTGCGGGGGTATTTTTATACCTGGAAGATTAATCAGCACATAAATAGCACTCAATAAATAGTTCTTAAAGAAATAAGTGAGAGCAAGGAAATACAATAAGAACAGAGGGACATCTCAGAATTGGAAAAGCAGAATAAGAAATGTAAAAACACTATGAACACATTCCTACAGAACAGCAAAAAAAACTTTATTGACCTCAATACTAGAACAGGGTTTATTAAGTAAAGTAACAAATCTCTCATAGACAATAAAATGATGATTAAGTGCCTGGGTTTGTTCCATCAGTCAGTATATCATTATCATAGAAAAGTTCATTAAATCTCTATACTTCAGTTTTTTTGTCTATGGAATGGGAGAAAATAACCGTTCCTACCTTGCAGATTAGCAAGAACAACTGAGTGGGTTAGTATATGTAAAGCAGTTAACATAGACCCTGGAGAAGTAACCACTCAGAAAAAACAAGTATTTTTATTATTCTAATTGGAGCAGCCAATTTTGTAGTTTCTCATCAGGTCTCAGTAGAATTGAATGTTATTTTTTTTGTCTTTTTACAATGTTATTATTAAAGCTATTTGTGTGTGATCCCCTGATCTTTAAAACCTAAAGAAAATTAAAGTAGGAGTTTATAGTTTAACCTAAATTGGAGTATAAGTCAGGAAGTAAATCCTGGGAAGTTTTTCTGTCTGTGTTACTATCAAAAAGGCTACCTATAATTGATGGGACTACAGGCTCTGCTTAGAGTAACCTTAACTATTACCCAGTAAAGGCATTCAAAATACAGAATGCAGTCTGTGTTCTAAGAATAGGAGAAATCTGTGTGCCATAGCCTATGCTCAGTAACCCAGAGGTGGTCCCTAGCACCATGAGGACTCACAGTGGGAACTTTAGATGTAAAAGAATCTGAACAAATCCAATTAAATGCTATGTTTGAATTAATAATGGTACATGTTTTATTGAAATTTAATTATAAGTGGCAAGGAAAATAAGACAAAAAGATGAGGAAACCCAATTGTTTTCCTATTTTCTTTGTTTTCTATCAGAAGATTAATTTTCTAAATTTAATAAGAATATTTCTTATAAACTACAATAGAATTTGTGACATGTTTTGATATTTTTTCTTAGTACTAAGTACCATTTTAAGGTGCCTAATTCGAATGCTAGAGTCTGGTGCTTTGAGAAATCAGTTGAATTATCAAATAATTCACTTTCTTATTACAAGCTGGTCCATTTCCCCACAGAATTACTTTTTACTATGGAAACACACATAGAAACTATTTTTAGTTTCTCTTTTTCAATATTCTATTCAAAATGTAATTTGAAGATTATCTCTTAAAGAGGCTCTTGTGCCAAAACTGTTTATCAGGCAAATTAAAGTGGAAAGTTATTTTTGCTCATAACATGGAAAACAGCAGTACTATTAAATGAATTCTCATAACACTAAATACTGTTGCAAAAGAATTAACCAATTAAGAAAATATTTAGCTTCTTCACAGAATAAGTAGTGAAAATGTTATGATGGGAGAATGGGGGTAAATTTGAAAGGAAGTTAGAAATTAATTCATCTGCTGTGCTTCTAAGATGTCTAAATGGAATAAGCATTTCACCATTGACCATCGGTCCACTGCCCCACTGCAGGGCTGTTTGCAAGGAACATAGCAAAACACCATGAGGCCCAACGATGCTGAAAGCACATAACAGGGATTCTCATGACAGTTCCGATGGTGCCAATGGAACTATGCTCCAATATTGATTTAGGAAATATGGTCATATGGCATAACTCTCATAACAGGCTGAACACAGTGGAAACCTGGAGTTTTCTTACTTGCCCTTTAAAAATAGGTAACTATTGATATGAATTATAACGTAGATATACACACAGCAGAAATACATGTTTTCTGAGTAACAGATATTCTAACTTCTTCTGCCACTCAATTTGCTTAGGAGCGAGCCATCAGAACCAGCCTTCCATGAATAGGAAAAAATAAAAATTAAATTTAGTAATGAAAAACCAGTTACAATAGAATATTAAATATGCTGCACTGCTATGATTTAAAATATACACACACTTCATGAGAAGCATGTGATATAAAAATATCAAGTATTTTAATTTATTGTTCTATTAGTTCTAACAAATGAAACATAACCATTTAAAGTAAAAATTGTTTAAGGAATATGGAAGTGCAATTACTATTAGTTATAGCTAAGAATAAAGTGTCAGGTTTCCATCTTCTCTCTGTCTCTTCCTAAGACATAGGCAGCTGCTAGAGAATTATTAAAGAAAGAGAGAAGCGTAGATGTAAAAAATTATGCTATAAAAACAATTATACTCTGGTTACTCTTATTTGACTTATAATTACATAATAGCATAGACCAAAGCAAAAATCAGAAGCCATGTTTGCAAGGTCTTCTTTCAAAAGTAAGGTTACACGATTGTTATAATGGTGACTTGCAGAAAGAATAATTGCCATTTCAGGCTGTGTGCTCTTATGAACTCGTCTTACTGTCAAGTTCACCTTGTTTAGTGGGTTATTGTAATAATGGGCAGCATTGTCCATTTATTTAACTGTAACTAATTTTATTTAATTTTAAACTACATGAACTACTTCTATCCACAAAGACTAGTAGACACTCTAATATTTTCCTAATTTCATAAAACAATAATGGAATGTTAAGAGATACTAAAAATATTTTATTTTGTTTATTTTCCTTTTTATGACCTTTATATCATGACATAAAATACATTAAAAGTTCCTTCAGTCTTCATAAACTCAATCATAATGTTCTCAATGTAACTTTGAATTTAGTATAAAATTGTTTATGACTTTACTGACTTTAAAATAATATTTTCTTATATAACACACAAATAAATATTAATGATACATGCTTTTAAACTTTTTCTGCTGCAGCTAAAGAGAAAATCATAGCTAAGATTAATATAGTTTTTAAATTAGATCTTATAATGGTAGAAATTTTACTAATAGTTTAATTTACTCATAAAATTGTTTTATTTGAGCTGTATTTTAAGAAATGTTTCTAAAGTTACTGTTTGTTACTGTTCTAACTGGTTTCTTAAATTAAATTAAAAAGAAAAGAAAATTTGCATTCTCATTTTTTTAATCCATAGAATATCTTGGGGAAATAAACATATACACTTTTAAAAAGATTATTCTAAAAAGTCTTTTTAAATTTTGTATTTTTTCACTACCATCCATCTCCCTTATACCCTCTTCTACCTCCAACCCCCCATTCCCCTCACCCCCAAGCTCCACAATAACCACACTGGTGTCCAAATCTTCAGGGGCTTTTTTTCTTTTTTTTGCTCTATCCTTCCACTCTTCACCCCCAGAGCTGGCAGCCTGCTCTTTCTCTATGAGTCTCTCTCTATCTTGTTTGTTAGTTCAGTTTATTCATTAGATTCCACAAATGAGTGGACTCATATGGTATTTGTCTTTTTCTAACTGGCTTACAAAGCCTTCTCTCAACTGTTTTTCTCCTTTGTTACAGGTATCCATTCTTCAGCTATATTTATATTTTAAAACAAAAAAAATGGATTTCTTAAATTCATCGGATCAAAACTGGACGTCAGAAGAACTATTAAACAGAATGCCATCCAAGATTCTGGTGTCCCTCACTCTTTCCAGCCTGGCAGTGATGACAACGACCATCAACTCCCTTGTGATCACTGCGATTATTGTGACCCGGAAGCTGCACCACCCAGCCAACTATTTAATTTGCTCTCTGGCGGTTACAGATTTTCTTGTAGCTGTCCTGGTGATGCCTTTCAGCATTGTGTACATTGTGAGAGAGAGCTGGATTATGGGGCAAGTGGTCTGTGACATTTGGCTGAGCGTGGACATTACATGCTGCACTTGCTCCATCCTGCATCTCTCTGCTATAGCTCTGGATCGGTATCGGGCAATCACGGATGCTGTCGAGTATGCCAGGAAAAGGACTCCCAAGAACACTGGCATAATGATTACAGTAGTTTGGATTATATCTATTTTTATCTCTATGCCTCCTCTGTTCTGGAGGCACCAAGGAACAAGTCGAGATGACGAGTGCATCATCAAACACGACCACATTGTTTCTACTATTTACTCAACATTTGGAGCTTTCTACATCCCATTGGCATTGATTTTGATCCTCTACTACAAAATATATAAAGCAGCAAAGACATTATACCACAAGAGGCAAGCAAGTAGGATTGCCAAGGAAGAACTGAATGGTCAAGTTCTTTTGGAGAGTGGTGAGAAAACCACTAGACTGGTGTCCACCCGCTATGTGCTAGAAAAGTCTTTATCTGATCCATCAACAGACTTTGACAGAATTCATAGCACGGTGAAAAGTCCCAGGTCTCAACTCAGACATGAGAAGTCTTGGAGAAGGCAAAAGGTCTCAGGCACAAGAGAACGCAAAGCAGCCACTACCCTGGGACTAATTTTGGGTGCATTTGTAATATGTTGGCTTCCTTTTTTTGTAAAAGAATTGATTGTTAATGTCTGTGAAAAGTGTAAAATTTCTGAAGAAATGTCAAATTTTTTGACATGGCTTGGATATCTCAATTCCCTTATAAATCCACTGATTTATACAATCTTTAATGAAGATTTCAAGAGAGCATTCCAAAAACTTGTGCGATGCCGATGTTAGTTTAAAAAGGTTTATTATTAAAGGTTGGATTTTGTTTTTTCAAGTGAAGTAAGTAAATGAATGCTAAATGTGAACACATTTAAACTTACCATTTTAGCAATAGGGAGGGGGCAAAAGAGCTAACAAGGACTCTTGCCTCGTATCACTGGAAGAAATGTAAAAGTCAGAGATTGATAATGTCTTTGTATTTAGGTAGTAAAGAGTAATCAGTCATAAAGTGAATTAGGGACCGTAAAATAATTTAGATACTGAACTTGCGCATATTTAACATATTCCTTTTGTTTAATATGAATTCCTAGAAGAATATTTCCCCAACTACCTGTTATCGACATTTGAAATCAAAGCTTTACTCTGGTAGCAATAACTCAAAGGAGAAGCTAGGGAGGTCAGGGGAGGTATTTATTCAGGAATCAAATTTTAGACACTAAGTAAAGTACCCTAGGGTTTCCACCATAGTTATTATACTTCTAATGTCTTTTTAGGAATGTAAAATAAATTTCATTTCTGTTTATGTTAATAAGCTCAGTTGCTAACTAAAATGTTCATGATGCTTTGTACTGCAGCAACTTCATACCTTCCATTTAAACATTCATTCCTGTTTATTAGAGAGAACCCAATAGAAACACTTACACCTATCCATTGATTTCAGAACAATCCTAGTTTAGCCCTGGCTGGTGTAGCTCAGTGGCTTGAGCACGGGCTTGTGAACCAAAGGATCATGGTTTGATTCCCAGTCAGGGCACATGCCTGGGTTGCAGGCCAGTTCCCAGCAGGGGACACACGAGAGGCAACCACACACTGATATTTCTCTCCCACTCTCCTTCCCTTCTCATCTAATGATAAAGAGATAAAATCTTTTAAAAAAAATTCTAGTTTTCCAAGTGGTAGAAATGTATAAAAAAAGACTCATTATTACAATAAAAATGTGTGTATATATAAAATAATAATTATATATATGTATATATCTCCCAATTAGTCATTCCACTAGTTTGGTGAGTCAAAGCAATTTCATTATTTTCTCTTCTGTATTTATATATATGGATATAGATATGAATTTGAAAACAATAGAAAAGATCACAGACCACCTTTTGGAAGGCCTACCATCAACCAAGATCATTTGAAAAACAATATATTTTTTTAAGCTGCACCATAATGTGTAATCTAAACATTTTTTCTTCATGAGGTGATTAAAGCATAGTACATTTTTTTATGTCTCTACACATTACTCTCAATCTAACAAAATGTATAGAGTTTTATTTTACATTAAGGTATGGAGATGTGCTGTATAAAAGATACAAGAAACAATAAAATAGAGTTTATTCTCTTATTGTGTTTACAATCTAAAAGATAGAACAAAAAAATTAGTACTATAATAGAAAAGAAAAAACTAAATCTGGCATGGAAGATGTTTACATAATTATTAGGGTTCAAATTTTAAAATTATCACTTCTCATTGAGAAAAATCAGGAGAATTTCATAAAAATATATCTGAGATGTTAATAAATAAACAACTTTTGGGTAAGAGAAATGAAAGAGCACCCTCCAGGTGCCAGAAACACCAGGAGTTCGGAGTGTATCCTGCAAGTACTTGGTAGGGCATGTTCATGAACCATCAATGAGTCTGGCAACTATTTGAAACAGAAGAAAAAAGAAGAGACTGAAAGAGAAATTAGCCATTGTTGTGGCTGACTCTGAATGTCAGAAAAAGCAGTTTACTGTCAATTTGGCTGCTGTCTGTGAAAGAGTAGCCATTGGTACTTTTTTAGTAAAATATGTCTATGGATCTGTATGGATTCAAGTTAATAAGGTACTGGGTGATAATGACTTCTTGTTAGAAGGCAAATCAATAATCCAGACAAGAGGTGATGCAGTCTTGAACTTGATTTTGGCAATGAAAATGCAATGAGAGAAACTGATGGATAATCAATAAAATATAATTTTTAAAAAAGATTAAAGAAACAGATGATAGATAGAATGGAGGTAGAATCTAGAGGATATAGCAAATACGTTAATAAGCAGGCAGGCAGATAACTTGTCCTCAGCTGAAATGAGAAACTGAGAAGAAGGATCCTACTGGCAAAATGAGGACTTTTCTTTGGGGTACTTAAGCACCTACCGAAAGACGTCAAAGGCCACAGGCACGACTGAGCAGTCTGGCCCAAGAAAACTAATAGGCAGATGAGTTTTATCTGAAGCTCTCTTGTCCTCTTTTCTTCTCTTTATCTCTCAAGGCCCCCTGATGCTGTGTTGACATTTCAAAGCCTGCTGTAGCCCCTATCATTCTCTGCTTATTTCTCTTTCCCCTTCACACAAAAATTTGCAATTAACTCATCAAAAGCCTTGCTAAAGTTACAAAAATCTGTTAAATTGATTTATTTATAGCCACCTCAGAAATTTATATATATAAACTTCTATATATATATATAAATTTATTATATAATATATTATATAATATATTATATAATATATTATGTAATATATTGGAGAAATCTAAGAAACACAGTTCATCAACCCAAAGGAACAAATCTCAAGCAGGGCGATGTTCATCCAAACACACATACTACCCTCTACTCTGAGTGGGACTGATGCTCGGATCTAGGAAAACAATACTGTACGTGACAAAGAAGTCAAATCCCCCTTCAAGTTCATTTTTTTCTGGGTACATGGAGCATTTTTTAATCCATAGGGGTCATGGCACACTACAGTAATTATCACTTCAACCATGTGTTTCCCCTACATGCCAGAGGTACAGGTCACACCATTTCTCATGGACAAATATGAGTGATGTCTTTTCAATATCTTTAAACAGTAGGTAAAATAGGACTAATAATCAGCAATTTGCACTTCCTTTGAAATTTACTAAAAACAGATTACACATGACATGATATATACTTCCCTTAATCTATAAGATTTATATAATGAAATAAAATTTCAATGAAAATGTTCCAAGTTCCTAAAAGTTGAGGATTTTTACACAAAAGTGTATTTTCATATCAATAACATGTAATAATTAATAATGTATATAATTCAACTGATAAACTAGAATAAATTATAAATATCATAAAAAGTGGTCAAGTATTAGGTGATGAAGATACCTTCTTGCTACAATTTTAAATATACCAAAACCAAAAAAGTAAGTGCAGATTTTACTTTTTCTTTGCTTCTTCTAAACATTTCAAATGAAGGATGTGTAAGATGCAGGAACAAGATACCAAAGAAAGATAGGAGGTCAAACTACTGATTACTAAATTCAATCCAATATCCTGTCATTCCGCATAATTATGTACAGATCATGTTTGAAAATCCACTTCTGTTTATGAAATATGGTCTTTTATTATTATAAATGATTAGTTATTATAAAACTGATATAATATTATGGATTGCCTGTGGCAGACTTCAGCCAGCAGAGTCTGCCTGTTGTGGCTGACAATGAGAATGAATGCACAGGTGACAACCATCCTGTGGAGAAAAAGGGAACAGGCATGACTGCTCTCTCAAGGGGAGAGTGTCCATGGTGCCCTGGCCACTTCCTCAAGAGGAGAGAACCCGACCCTTGCCTAGAAAGGCTTTTATTGTTTTCCTGGGGTCTTACATCATAAAAAGATTTATTATCTATTACATAGAATGTTATTGTCTACATTCTAGGTACAATCAAAGAAATAAAAATAACATGCAGAGGGAAATGGCAATGAGCTGATTAGCTCTGTTCCTGGGAAAACTCACACAGGCTTTGGAAATTACCTAGAAGATAGACAATACACATTTGTTGTTTTAAACCAGGGTGAGGGAGTTTTTAGCAAGAGCAAGCCATAACAATCTGTATGCATTTTTCTAGGCCTGATTCCCACGGGAAAACTCGGTTTGAAGATTTGGCTCCTGCCCACCACTTTGCATCTGTAGGTTTTCCATACAGAGCTGAGTCACATTTGCCAGACTTAAACAAACCAGTCCTGTATAATTGCCTACCTTAATAGTTTGTTTGTTTTGTTTCACAATAAACCCATGAGGTCAAATGCGTAACATAAACAGTTTATCCAGGTACTGGCAGTTGAGAGATCAATTCTTATGTAACAACATTTTTCATTTTGAATCTCCACCACCAACTTTCTCCTTTTCTGGTGAACTTGGTTTTCTCCCCTCAACCTCAATGTGTGATCTAGGGAATGCATGTTTCCTGCTTGCAAGTGAAGAAAAGCTTCTTTGGGGCCATTCTTGTCTATATCAGTTTTGTCAGTTCCAAGTTTAAAACTTCCCTTAGCAGAGCATAATCCCCGTATGCACAGGGTCAAACTTAAATGTGCTCTTCTGTGTCCTTGAGTTTTGTATTGAAAAGAAATGGGCCATTCATTGGAAACCAATTACTGGGAAACTTACTGACTTTCTCCACCAAATATTATGAAAGCAGGGTTAGTCATATGCTTTTTGAGGACATGATTTCCTCTACTACAAGGAATGACCAGTTTCCTCATGAATTTATACAAGACCTTTTCTTGAATTATAGTCAGGGAATCAGATTTACTGTATTGCGGTAGAAAAAACTTGAAGGATTTTTTTCTTAAAGTTCTTCAAAACTAATTCTGCTCTGTTCAAAATGTGTCTGCTTAATTTGTTTGAGAAATTATGTGTTTCTATATGCTCCTAATAACTACAATGATTATATTCAGACCTTTATTTTGCTAGAAAATATTTCTAAAAACAAGTTAATATTTCTGCCATGAGTAAAATAAATGTTTTCTTATGACATTGCGATTATTTTTCTCAGTCTTGTGAATCAATATGCTGTCTCCCATTACATAAAATGAGAGCACTATTGGGAGAAATATTTTCCAATATTATGATAAATGTTTGGTTAGCTCTGGCCAGTGTGGCTCAATTGGTTGAATCATTGTCCCATAACCCAAAGATTCAGGTTTTGATTTCCAATCAGGGCACATACCTGGGTTGTGGGTTCCATCCCTGGTCCAGCTGCATACTGTCACGGGGATGGGAACACAGGAGAGGCAACCAAGTGGTGTTTCTCTCTTGCGTCAACGTTTCTCTCTCTTTCTCCCTCTCTTCTTTCCAATTTATTGAGGTGACATTGATTCAAAAAAACCATACACATTTCAAGTGCCCAACTCAACCTGACGCTATCTGCTTACCGAATCGTGCACCCTCAGCCCCAAGCAAAGTCTCTTTCTGTCCCCATTTCCCTCTTTTGCCCACTTCCACTTACCTCCCCACCACCCTAATCATTTCTTCTTTGTGTTAGTTGACTTAACTAATATTTGAGTGGAACTATGACTCTTGTAATGCATGCATGTGTGTTTCATTTTGCAGATGTTAGGGACTAAATTGGGGGGAAAAGAGATCTCCTTCGCACAGCACACTATTGAATTTTAAGATGGAAGAAGTAAAGAAGGGCAATTCTTCAACAGGAAGGAGCAGGAGTAATTCACTTCTCAGATTTTTGAAATTTGTATGCAGAAGAATCACCTGAAATGCTGGTTACAAAAGCAGATTCCAAAGATTGTACTAAGCCTCACAGTGCAAAGTGGAACCCAAGAATCTGGTCTTCCATAAACTTATTATTCTAACCAAAGCGGAGCTTAAAGCTTTTCTAGAGACCACAAAAAGCTCCTAGCTAGCTATTAAGTGGTTTGTGGGACACAATTCTAGCAACTGAAAATGAATTTCACTACCATTTCACTAGTAGAGTCCCATTAAAATCCAGAAATTTGCTTGCTACTATATGAAAAGTGTCTAATGCAAAACTGAAGTTAAAATCAGATCAACATTGATGAGTAGATTATAAAGCATTCCGGAAGAAAAAACAACTATTAATATCTCATCTCAATCAGCATATTACTTAAATTTTTCCAGGGCAAAAAAATAAATGTTTTTGATTATGTAGGAAGCAGCAATTTACAGTAGAGAACTCTCTAGATTTGACCTCAGAAAAGGCTAAAGGAGAGTCCTGATTCTGCTAATCATTAACTTAATGATGAACAAGTTTTATCTAGCCTGCTTTCTTTAGATTAGAGTTTAAAATTTAAGGAGATAGAGTGATATGAATCAAATGGTCTTGAAAAACTCTAAAGGACTACCAAATATAAATTAGCATTTTTATTGTTATTCTCTATGGTAGGTCTGGAATGAGTCAGAGCACACGTGACATGAACCTTGTGTTCTGCATCATGCACTGCCTATTTCTGA